TAGTGATGCTGCTAAATGTATCATATTTAAGTGGCCATTTCAAATACCTCACATTCTTATTTGAAAACTCTAAATTTAAAACTGACTTCTGATTAAAACATAACATATTTTTTAGCATCAAATTGCTTTCTTTTCCTATTCAGTTGTTATACATGTTTATTTTTCTCTAAACATTACAGGTTAATTTGCCAAGAAAAAAATGAACACTGCATCCTACTGCCCCAGAATACATTATACTTTAAAACTACTTATAAGCAAACATGACCAGCCTAACAATTCCCATCTAAGTATTTCTGAGTGTTCAGGTTTTTCAGATGTGATAACTACAATATGCTGTGTTAATCCTCTGCAAATCTTGAATTGTTATAGGATCAATAATAACTTCAAAAGGTGGTAGCAAATAACACCTACACATAGTACTATGATTTGTAAAACTGGCATTTCTTATTTCTCTGAATCTGTAGAAACATTGTCTTTGTCATCATAAAGTTAACTCCCTCTTCAAAATTTGCTTAAAATGACTCAAGGATTTATAAATGGAAGAAAACTACAATGGTGTTCCCTGATGCACAACACACCTCAAAAATCTGCAAACTAACCCCCAAATTTCCCAAATTGTTAAGAGAAAGCAATATGTCCCTTTGAATCTCTTTATCCCACCTTTGAAAAGCTAGAAAGGCTTAATACTTTGTACTCAGACTTTGTGACCACAAGATGGCGTTGACCCTTTGGTTTTAAAATCCTGTTGTGTGGATATCTGCAATAGGAAAAGGCAAGCCTGACAGAACATATATTTTTAAGCATCAAATTGTTTTTTCTTCTATTCAATGGCTATATATGTTTATTTTTCTCTAAATATTACAGGTTATTTGCCAAGAAAAAAATGAACACTGCATACTACTGCCCCAGAATACATTATACTTTAAAACTACTTTAAGCAAACATGCATTCTATTTATTTTTGTATCACATAGCACTGTATTAGTGACACAGATGGATCTAAAAAATATTTGTTGAATTTAATTTATCTGACTGGATTGGGCATATCCAACTTCTCTCTGAAGAATTTTATTTACAAGTTTAATTGGCAGAGGTTTGCTTTTTCAAAGTCAACTGAAAAATGCTAAAGTATAATAAATAAAAGCACCCAATTCTATGCACAAGAATAAAAGGTAATTAATATTGCAACCTGGAATTGTTTAAAAATGGAATTTATGATAAAACACAAAAATGAGGTGTTTACTTCTCAGTTTGTTTTGTATAGGAACTGTTGCTGACTATATTTTGAATGAGCTACTACTGCCATCAAGTGTTAGAACTCTTCAAGTCACACAAATGCACAAAAACCAACACCAAAATTGCAATATGTTTTCAACTTAAAAACGTAATGCTCTGCACAACATAAAACATAGCAGAGCCTATGCCCCAACCCCTCCACACTGCGTGTCCACGGGGACCTGGGCCTTGCTTCTAACCCACAGACAATGGCAGAGGTGATAAAAAGCCAAGGATTATGTCAAGGCAAGAATGTCAAGGCCAGGATTATGATAAACAGCCACACATTTTCACACACACACATGTGTATATGTCTGTATTTACATCTGCAGCTTTTCATCTTGCTAGGAGAAACTACGGAGATTATCTTTGCCAGTTTGATGATATGAGCAGCCCTGTTGAGGAAGCCCACAGTTCTTGCTGTGGGCAGTGTCTAAACTGCCCTTAGCTTCTAAGACTAGTGGGTGGCCTCAAGTCCTAAAGGTGGCCTCTAGCCAACAGACAGCTAAAAGGCAGGGCCATCAGTCTTAGAGCCACAGGGAATAAATTCTGCCAATGCCATAAATGATCTTAGGTGTGAATTTTTCTGAGTTGAGCACATCAACGAGAACTCAAACCATTCAAAACCTTAATTACAGCCTGTAGTAGTCTGTTCTCATGCTGCTAGTAAAGGCATACCTGTAACTGCATAATTTATAAAGAAAAAGAGGTTTAATGGACTCACAGTTATACTTGGCTGGGGAGGCCTCACACTTATGGCAGAAGGTAAAGGAGGAGCAAAATCACGTCTTACATGGCAGCAGGCAAGAGAGAATGTGAAGCAAGCGAAAGGTGTTTCCCTTAGAATACCATCAGATCTCGTGAGACTTATTCACTACCATGAGAACATTATGGGGAAACCACCCTCATGATTTAATTATCTCCAACCGGGTCCTTCCCATAACATGTGGGAATTATGGGAGTTACAATTTAAGATGAGATTTGGGTAGGGACACAGCCAAACCATATCACAGCCTGTTGAACCCCCAGACAGAGGATCTGCTAAGCTATTCCTGGACTCCTGACTCCTGAAAACCTTGAGATAATAAATGTATATTGTTTTAAGTAACCAAGGTTGTGGTCATTTGTTATGCAGCAACAGAAAACTAATACAATATTCAACAACAGGATGAATGTGTTATATTCAATATTGAATCAGAATATTTCATTTCATGGTACTGAAAGAATATGGGTCAATTAAAAATGTGTCCTTACATTGGTCAACAGGTACAAAGTTACAGGTAGGGAGAAGGAGTAAGTTTGGTGTTCTAATGCACATCAAGGTGACTACAATGAACACTAATGTCTTGTGTATTTCAAATTAGCCATGAGAGGATTTTAAATTCTCACCAAAATTAAATTTTATATATATATATATATACACACACACACACACACACACAATCACTTGTCATTAAAAAAACTATAAAAGTGTGTCTTTAAAAATTAAATAAATGTCTGACTTTTTAACATGCTTCAGTGGTAAATTTTCTTAGACGATTTACCAGTACATTCAAAACTTGTATTATAAGTCCAATCTTTGTAAAACTAAAATCGTAATCAAAATAATAAATTGCTGCTTCTCTTAAGAAAATTTGGGCAAGGCAATAACGTGTCAATGTTTTTTAGTAGGGAGAATAAATATTCTCACCATGCAAAAAGTATATAATGCCAAGGTTAGCTGTATAAAGGTCACATCAACTGATCAAAAAATGATGTCCTTAATTACCTGTAAAATGAGTTAACCATCTATTTTAAAACACAAAGAAACTGATTGGAATTCCAATACAGCAACATGGTCCATCTGTAATGCTCTGAATTAAAACCCATTTTTGCATGACACATAGGTCCTTAGAAAAAATAAATCTGGGCTCTCACCATTCAATTTTGAGTAAGCAGAGCAGGGTCAAAATAACTGCCAAAGGTGAGTCCATATCTAGAAAGGGATATTGCAGGCTAAACATGTCAGCATTCTGTACTTTTGAGTCAAACAGGCTTGTCCTCAGCAAACCCCAGAGCAAATGAAATTAAATGAAGCCTGTGGATTCTACAGGTCCCAGGGCAAATGTTGGAGTCCTGATCCAAACCCCCCTACACTGTTCTCTATTTTCAGCCAGGAATGCATAAATGACCTTTGCTAGCTTCAGGGCTTTCACACATTCTGCTTTTCTGGCATTTAATGGAGCCTTATATAGACCGAAGTTCCCAGCGGGCAGTGTTCCATTTTGTGCAATTCCACTCAGCACAGAAAAGTAATAAAGGGATATACACTGAGACGGTTTTCTCTAGGATCAAGTATGGTAGCACTTTCCTTGACGTTTTACAAAGAAGGACAAGAAAAGGACACAAGCCAGGGTGGGGATGCCTATTTTTGCATCAAGCACAAGTGTCTTTACATGTACGATATCACTTCTTTTGTAAGTCATTAAGTATTTAAATATAAGGATGACGGTTAACAGTTACTGAGTACTTACAGGGTACCTGCACTAAGTGCTTTAAGGAATTACAGTAAGTCCCTCACTTTGCCTCATAGGTTCTTGGAAACTGCTACTTTTAAATGAAAAGACATATAATGAAACGTGGTTTTGTTATTGTTGTTTTGCCTCAGCAATGTTATAAGGAAATGACATTGAGAAAAAACATTATTAGAGGACCTGCTATATGCATTTAATTCTTTACACAACTGTATGGAAAAGGTAGTATAATCGTGGTATGGGTAAGGAAACTGAGGCTTACAGAGATTAATAATTGGTGAGGTGAAGTTGAACCCCATTTATTTAAATTAAAACCCATATGCTTAACCACAATGCTTTAAAGGCTTCCCGTGTATAGGCTGTATGGTCAGTGAAAGGGCAAAAGGAAAAACAATCTGAATATTCCTCTTCCCAAGGACAAACCTGTGGTATTCATCCTGGTAATAACAATATTTGTTTAATTGAGGTACATATGTATAGTATATTACCAACAACAAAGTACCTTCCCAAATGCATCTCATTTAGTTATCACAAGGGTCCTACTGGTGGTTTGGTAGAACATACAGCAATGCCATTAAGAACCTAACTTTAGGGTCAAACAGGATTAGGCTTAAATAGTAGCCCGAAAATGTATTAGCCCCACAACCATGGGGAAATTAACCCCTCAGTTCCCTCATCTGTGACAGGTGATAAGATACGCCTACCTCTCAGGGTAGATGACAGGATTATTTGTCAGGGAGCACATGCAATAATAAATGTTTGTGGTCTTGTTTTATGTATTATGAATTCCGTTTCCCCAGAGTAAGAAGAGTTGGCACTCGCTAGAAGGTAAGAGGTTGGGCCAAGTTTTCTTTCTCCAGTAATTTTCCATTATCCCTTAGGTCCTCCAAAGGTGTGGAATGTGGGGTTTTCAAAACTCAAGTTCTCCCGCTCCCACCGGGTTCAGATGAAGGCCCATCTTTTAAACCCCTGCCTCAAGGTGACACAAAGCTTTCGGATAAACTGCCTCCAGACTTGCTTGAATTGAGCAGCACAAACTCAGCCTGAGTCCCTCTTCGCCTCCCCCAAACGCTACGTCACAAGCCCCCTGCGAATGTTCACCTGGAGCCTGGTTCCAGCCAGAACCCGGTCTTGCACACAGGGAGGACGATTTCGACCCCAATTGGCTGTTGCCCTGGGCGACCAAGAACGCGGTGGGCACGCGGGAGACCACAGCCAGTATTTAAAGGCTGCCGCTGCCCTCGTCACCCCAGTCCTGCCAGGACGGCGACAGTGAAGCACCTGGGTTGAGAGGTAGCAGCAGGTAACTGCGCAACCCCTGCCTCCCCCGGCCCCAGCCCGTGCCTCAGCAGAGCCGGGTGTGGGGGGGGACCCGGGAGTGGGTCTCACTGCGTGTCGCCTGCCAACACCTTCCTCCCCCACCATCCTTACCCAGCCCCAGTCCCACCCAGCACACCTGGGCGAGACAACCCAGGTGCGAAGGACAAGCGATTACTACTGAAGAGCTCACAAACCAGGAAGAGAGCGGCCTCCTGGAGAGAAAACGTGATCCCAGGGGTAGACACGTGGCACTGCGTGGAGAGACAGGGTGACGAGACGAAGCTCTTCTGACCGTCCTATCTGGCAAAACTTGACGACGGCTTCTGGGTCGCCATCATCTAGACCTCTCAGAGCTCCCTGAACGATGACTCAGACCCTCGACACAAGGGAAGACCCTCTGAACCTGGGCGGCGGTGGCTGGGCACACTCGGCCTCCTTGAGCTCCTGGTCGTCCTGCCATCGAAGGCGCCAGGGCGCTCCAGTGTACAATAGGCCGCACCGCTATAGCCCCAAGACCGAGTATGGGCCCCCAAGGCAGCAGCCGAAGCAACAGCACGGCCCGGGCTTTTGGTTCCAACCACCCATGTGCTTTAACTGGGGGTGCTGGGGAGGGCCCTGGCGCCCACCCCCTCCAGGATTCCGGAAGTTCCATTGCCCAGTGCAAGTGTTTCGGGTGTATGGCCTGCACCCTCTCTGCTTTTGCTGCTGCTCCTGCTGGAACGGGTCCTGGAACCCTAGCTGGGCGAGGCCCCCAGGCAGGAAGAAGCGCTGGGGCCGCAGGGGTCGCGGCCTGCGCCACCACCCTCGCCGCTCCTCCCCGCGGAGCCCGCCAGCGAATGTGAGCACGCAGCCGCGGCCGGTCAAGCTGTACGAGTGGAGAGAGCCTGGCATGCGAGCGCCGCCCAACACCACCCAATTCATCATGAACCAGATCTACGAGGACATGCGGCAGCAGGAGAAGCTGGAGCGTCAGCAGGAGGCGCTGAGGGCGCAGAAGGCCCCGGTGAGCGGCGAGGCCTCCCCGGCCAGATCCTCCGGAAACGACGCGCCCCCTGGCGGCAGCGAGGAAACCTGGGGACTGCAGGAAACTCTGTATGGCTTTGTGCAGAATCCCTCTCTAGCATTCAGTCCTAAACCAGAGGAAAACCAGTCTCTTGCCCCGTTGCTGGTGGAGGAAGAGGAGAAGAAAAATGATGATGAGGAGGAGTATGACCAGGAGGTGTGTGATGCAAAGGAGGTGAGCGAGGAGGAGGAAGAAGAGGTTGAAGATGAGGAAGAAGAGGTCGAAGATGAGGAAGAAGAGGTCGAAGATGAGGAAGA